GGGGGGGTGTACACAGACCTGCACACATTACCTGCTCTTCATCCTTCTCCGTGCTCATCACTTATCGCCAGGCAAGCACCGAGGCACCGACCAGGATCACAAACCCCGCGGAGAAGCGTAAAGTATGCCCCCCGAGGCGCTTCGGTTTGGACCCGGTGTCTGTTGTTTAATCTTTGGCGGATTTTACGTGGACGAGTTAGTGAATGGATCCAAAGGACACCGAGCTGTAAGTTGCAGGTTAAAGCTGGAAAACTTCTAGTTTGAAGCTTATTGGATTGTGATTCTGCAGCGGAGGACTTCCCACATCAAAAGCTGCTGCTGCCCGCAGAAACCGCCGGGGAGCTCTGTGAGGACCCTGTGATTTCTCGTGTAGTGGATCTCAGATCCCAGATCTCCTCCACTGAAGATCTGTCACTTCAGGCCCGTTTGTGAATACACATCTCGAAGATGAGAGGTGTCTCCTCTCTCTGTCCTCCTCTTGGTCGAATGTGGATGGATGTGGCGTCGTGAGGAGGCACTAGCCTGAGGACAGTTTGGAGTTTTTTGCCCACACATTCTTCACCTCATGCAGTTCCTTCGGCCGGCCTGGGCTCTGACTGCCGCCGCGGTCTGCTTCCTGCTCCTATTGCTCCTCCACAGCCAAATCCTGAGGGAAGGTAGTGTTTCTGTTTTCTGGTTACATAGTTACATACATATGTGCCTGTGTATGTTTGTGGTCAAACTTAGGAGCCAGAGTGCTTCAACAGGTCAGATACAATATGGGAAAAAATGTACTGAAAGGTTTCTGTCTCTGTGGTTTCAGTACCCGGAGACACTAACAGGGAAGTGCATTTGTGCATGCAGTCCCGCGGTTTTAGTCGTCTGTGCAGCGCTTGTGCAGCAGTGATATGGTTACGGTATGATGATGATATGGTAAATTAAGGCCAGAGATGTAAAACAAATGAATCAACATCAGTAGAAACGGACCCTGGTCGGGACGTCCGGGCGGGATAAGGCGCTCAGGAAGCAATCTGAGCTCCAGCAGAGCTTCGATGTTTTTCGCTGTAGGAAACCGAAGCAATCAGAAACAATCTCAGAGATGAAACACTCTACCTGTCTATCCATCGTGCCACACACAGAGCGACTGTACGGTTCTGTACACAGACCGTGCAAGGAAATCTAATGAATGTCATGGCAAGTTATTAAAATCATTCTTAGCAATTGTGACATTTATTTTGTTGGTCTGGTCGCTCTACTATTGCAGTGTTTCATTTCTAGACTGATGTGCAGGTTTTATCAGTAACAGACACAATAATACAAAGTGTTTATTTTACTAATGTTCTGGACTATTTTTAATCCTTGTTAAAAAGTAGTTTTGATATTTGTATGCTGATCTCTGTTGTGTTAAGAAAATATATGACATAATGTGACCCCGCTGGTACACAGGGTTTAGGCTTGTGCTAAGCTCCACTCTCTCAATGCAGGGGCATTACACTTTTATTACAATTATGATTAGAAATTAAAACTTGACCAAAATTTGATTAGATTCAAGCAGGAACTAGAAAAGTCTCTTTGCAACTCTAAAAGACAACAATCGGGAAAACAAATGTTTTTCTGATGCTTTTTATTATTTGCAATGAAAAGAATGAAGTTATTGATCTTTTCTGAGGGGGGTGGTACTCACACAATGAGGGTAGAGTTAATTTGTTCCTCTGGAGGACTCAGTATAACCTTGTACCGTGTTTCACTGTGTGCTGTCATTCTTTCTCCTGTTAACTTCGTCTTGGATTCATCTGCTCTGTGACTGCATTTAACCTCTAACCATCATATTACCATCATCTATTTTTTTTAGTTTACTTTAAGCATTTGATCTTGTTTCCCCACCTAAGAAGTGGTTTA